CGAGTCGTTACTTTTCTCATGAATAAATATTTTTTCAAGAGACATTTGGCGACCAAAAGTTCATGAGGCGTTTTCCTTTGGTGCGGCAATATATATGTGCCCGATTAGTAAAACGTTCTCTTCCTCTTCGTCGATTGCACTCAAACTTTATTTAAAATGTAAAATTGTAACTTTCCTTCAGCTGTATGTTGACAAGACTGCCATATGCATTTACGGACAAGAGAGAATACAATGTTAGAAGTCGAGAACTATCAAACCACGTACCTACAGTGAATCGCAATCGTTAGGTGTGTTTTATATTCTCCGCTGTTGTTGAAAATTTTATTGAAAAAAAAAAAAAAAAAAAAAAAAAAAAAAAAAAAACTAATGAGCGAATGAACGACGTTATTAACCAAAATTTCACCAGATATGTTACCTAGGCTAAAGGAAAACCTGTAAAAATTCCGCTGAACAATATTCATTAATTTTTCTGCGAGAATATAAAACAAGCAGTTTCAGCACGTTAGTTTTGAAAAGCACGCCCACATCAAAGTCAATTTAATCTGAGGGTAAATTGATTTTGAAAATGGAAAAAAAACAGATTTACAAAACTCGATTGCAAGGATAGATACTTTGGAAAAGTCAATATAGCAATATAGACCACGTTCGCCATCTTGGATTTTGGAATTTTGAAAATTTGACTAAATATTCCTGTTTCCCGTCAAAAAATACCCCCTTACACCAAGTTTCAAGAAAATCGATCGAACAGGAGCCGAGATAGCATTTATTTACCAAACCTAGAATGTGACAACAATCGACAAATAAAAGAACCTCAAGGAAAATAATTTGATGAGTTTCTCTGTGAAGATTACATAAAAAGCAATTGCGGAAGATTGGAACGAATTTTGCCTTTGCAATAATCAAATATGTCGTACATGATTCTACCGGTCACAAAACTCGGGAACTGATCGCAACCGAGTCGGGTTGGGTTAAGTTAGGTCACGCAACTAAACTAACTTTCCGGCAAAGCTGGAAGTATCACTCGAACTGAAGGCGCCCCATATCTTGAATTGGTACACACTATTTACACGAATTCGACCAATAGAACTCTCTGGGGCTCTTTATCTCTTCCAGTGCAATACAGGCAGTCATGTTGCGACAAAAAACGCTTACGGACAATTTCATGTTGCCAAATTTATATTGATCGCAGTTAAAAAAAATCGCAAATTTTGAATCAAGTCCCCTATGGCTCAACATGAACTTCCAAGAAGTTGCACGTAAGATTAGCAGGAGAGTCAGAATTTCAATCTAACACTGAGTGAGAATGTTTTACACTTTGCTTAGGTATTCGACAAAACGCTTTCAATTCAACAGATTTCTGGTGGTGCGCGAAAACGGCCATGCAGTTGTGCGCTTCGCGCGATATTTCTTGTGACTTTCAAACGACTCAACATTAAAATAGGCCGTGATTCAACAGATTGCTGATGGTGCGAAAACGGCCATGCAGTTGTGCGCTTCGCATGATATTTCTTGTGACTTTCAAATTACTCAATGCCAGAACGCTGTAATTTACTGGATTTTGAAGATTCCTACGTATACGAAAAAGGCCATGCATGTTGTGCGCTTCGCGCGATATTTCTTGTGACGTTCAAACTACTCAATTCTAGGACGCTGTAATTTACGTGATTTTGAAGATTCCTACGTGTACGAAAATGGCCATGCAGTTGTGCGCTTCGCATGATATTTCTTGTGACTTTCAAACTACTCAATGCTAGGACGCTGTAATTTACGTGATTTTGAAGATTCCTACGTGTACGAAAAAGGCCATGCATGTTGTGCGCTTCGCGCGATATTTCTTGTGACGTTCAAACTACTCAATTCTAGGACTCTGTAATTTACGTGATTTTTAAGATTTCCACGTGTACGAAAATGGCCATGCAGTTGTGCGCTTCGCACAATATTTCTTGTAACTTTCAAACGACTCATACTAAAATACTGTATAGGCCGTGATTCAACAGATTTCTGATGGTGCGAAAACGGCTATGTAGTTGTGCGCTTCGCGCGATATTTCTTGTGACTCTCGAACGACTCAGTGCTAAAACGTTGTATTAGATGTGATTCAACAGATTTCTGGTGGTGCGGAAACGGCCACGCAGTTGTGCGCTTCGCGAGATATATTTTGTGACTTTCAAGCGACTCAATTCTAAAACGATGTATTTTACTTGATTTCGAAGATTCCTTGGGGTGCGAAAACGGCAATCCGGTTGTGCGCTTCGCATGATATTTCTTGTGACTTTCAAACTACTCAATGCTAAAACGTTGTTGAAACGAGTAAAAACGAGTGCTTGTAAAAACGAGTAAGAAAAGGCATGCTACATCAACTGTCGTAAAAAAAAGCACGCCAGTAGTACGTCTAACGACGACTGATAAGACTCATCAGTATAGCGGGTAGTGCGCGCATTAAATTGAAGGCGTTTTGAGTGATGAGTGGTTTTAAAGCTTTGAAAGCTTACAAACACTTCTTAGACGTAGGTTGATGTTGACCGGCTGAGTACGGATCCGGGCATGTTAGACCTGGTGCGGCTTTAAAAACTTTATGAGTCACATTTCGTCACTCCCCAGACGAAGGAATGTAATTCCATTCAGAGGTTGCAAAATTAACTTAAAAAAATCAATTTATTGTAAGAATACAGCGGTGCAATTATCGAACAAAATTGTTCCTGATTTATGCATGTAATCAGGAAAAAAACCAGGAATCTTTTTAGTCTTGCGACAGTTGCCTGTTAAAATACAATATGTGACAGGAATTTTTGGAGCACTGAAAGGTTCTGTTATTTCATCTGGAAAAAGACGATTTATGGTCTATCTTAATACTTATAGATCCTCTTAGGATTATATTAGCAAGGGAGCCTTAACGTTAAAAGAGCGATGATAAGTACAGCCTTAAAACTTTCCATGAATTTAAGAGTTAGAGAGGAGTCAAACAAACTTGTCACTGTGACAGTGCAAATGGATCGAATGGACATAGGAGCATGAGAAGTCCCTCATCCAGTGGCGTGGCGTGAATGATCGATTATCGATATTTCTCCATTTGAAGCTACGGTAAAGAATCGATTATCAAGGTGTTCGCTGCGAACGCCCTATTTATCGATCCTTTTCCATAGGTGTAAATGGCAGATCAAGCGATATATCGCAAAGCACGCCACGCCACTGGCCTCATTCAAGCTGTAATGTATACGTGTCACTTTTATTTTAAAAATAAATAATCTGCGGCTATAATCATTACCTGAAACTTCGGCAAATTTTTCCTCAACTCTAAAAAAAAAAAAATCCTATCCTACTGTTGTGATGGTAGATTCTCCAATGAAAACGTGAAACGCAACAAGTAAGTAATAATTTTAAAACTTAGCAATTAATTTAATTTTTCATTCAAACTTTTTGACTCTATTGGTCATGGGCCGTCAATTGTTAAAAAGTGAGATTTACAACCTGAACTAAAAATTAAACGGATAGTTGCACCGTTCCAGACCCTCCAATTTTACCTCTTTTTTAATTGGAATAAAATTGACGGACCTTTTTACTTAAATGAGGGTAAAAGAAAATCACTATCAACACTGACATTGACACAAAAAAAAGTTACAATGGCTACAGAAAAATCGTGGATTGACTTTCCTGCATGGAAAAAGAATGTGAGGGAAAGTTCGCATAGATGCAATTTTAAGTGAGCACTTTCCAAGTTCTTACATCAACATCATGCTAATACTACACTCAGCATTATGCCATGTAATTATAAGAAACATTTTATCCTTACTTTCTATCAGAATAGTATTGATAGGTATGTATTATTTTTAGGTAAGAAATTCGAAAATAATGCTTTATTGATTAAAAAATGAATTCATCATTTGACCTTGCCAAACACCGGAAAATTTCTGATTGCACCATTGTCGATGAATCAAAATACCTAATTGAAACCACAGAGTCATGGATAAGCTGCAACAGTTAATTTAAACTTATGTTATGTAACTCTAACGATTACAGACTTTAATTTTGGCTCAAAAACTGTTTTTAATGATGAAAGTTGGCATTTGCAACTAATCGGGGTAGTTTGAGATCCAATTTCGATTTCTTTTTTCGATTTTCCATTACACTCTGAGAAAGAGACTATCTATCATTCAGTATACGGTGACTGAAAGAGTTAAAAAGTCATTTTACCTAAAAGAATAATAATTTTGGTTTTAAGGGATAGGTACAGAACTTCAGTCACAAGCTATGTGCTGGTAATCATGAGTTATCCACTGATAATAATTAGATTATTCATTTTGCAATTACCATGATTCAAAAAGTTGATGAAAGAAAATGGAACACAAAGATGAGATCAACATGAGATAGGTGAGACAGAATATCTCTGCTGTCGCTAACATGAATGTGTGGCAGATAATTGGAAATGGACCAATAGCTAAAATGCAAAAAGCATTATAATCTATATTTTCTCATCATAATTTCACGTAGAATACAATGTTTATGATGCAAATTATTGAGAGTAACTCCTAGCCAAGGCATTAATGGTTTTTGATGCATCAATTCAAACTTCCCACTAATGGCATAACCAATAATTTACCTGAGTTAAACCAAATACTAAATGGTACCAGGGATCTCTGCTCTATGATAATATGACAATACGTGGTCGGGAAGGAACACTGCTTGATTGAGAAGCCAACCAAAGCTGTTGTAGGGCGCAATTTTCAAGTAGACTTTGTTTTTCTAGTGAGCAGGAAATCCAAATTTTACATGACCAATGATAATTAAAAATATTATTACCTTGGTTTGGAGTTAATGTCAGTTATTTCCATGCTGCGAATTGTGTTTAATGTGAAACTTTGAAGAGAAAACATGTAGCAGAATGCTCTAATTCTTAACCACCTCCATACACAAAGACCTTTCATAGAACTTGACTATGAAGGTTCTAAGATCAAGGAATACAATAGCAGAAAATGCGGAATTGAATTGAAGAGAAACACACATTAATAGGAATCACAAAATATAAATTTATTGAAAAACTAGGTTTTTCCAGTTAAAGAAAATTTTAGAAACTAAATCTCAGATTTGTGGAAAAGGAAAGTAAAAAAGGAAAGAACTGAACAACAAATGAGGTAACAAATATGGCGATATAAAGTTCATCACGTCCAGCTTAGGTTTTAACATCAAAGAATGGAGAAACCAGGGAGTAAAATATTAAAATAGGTGATAGGATTGGAAGGTTTGAATTCCAACTGTATGCGAATTCATATGGTATTACAAACGAAAAGAATCAAACCGAAAATCAGTTCAAGTTTGTGGAGATAATTTGCAGGTAAGAGTGTAAACATTGTGAACTTGTTAGAATAACTCCGATTTTGGGTCCAGTTACAGAGGTAATCAAGATTGTATTACATGCTAATAGAGTATTGCTTGCATAGTAACTGGATAGAACGCAAACGGAGGAATTTTTCAAACTTCTCAAACATACCTGGACTTGATTTTTCTTAAAATTTAGGGTTCCATGGAAATATCCAAGTAAACTGACGAAAAAAAAAAGTCTAAATATTTAAAATTTGCACTAATACCAGCAACAATACGAAGACCTTAGGGCTCCAATCAATATTAGAACAAATCCCGTTATTTACTGTTCAGGATTTGTTAGAATTTGACAAGCAACTCACCGCAGATCCAACGCTTGGAACTACTTTGCAAAATTATTTGAAAGGAAAAGCTTCAACAACAAATGCATTGATTTGCGCAACAAGCGTCATGAAGTGCCTTATCAGCAAATCTCTCTGTAAGAACATGGTATGGAAGGGAAAAGAGGGTGGCCCCAAAATAGGTTTTGAAAACTTGCGACTAAGAAAGATTGTAACAAAAGTCGTGCAGACTAAATTTTCTCTTCTACCTAAACAGAGTGTTGCTGAAACTGTCAAGATGTCTCTTAAAAGATGGTTTTCTCAAACTGGATCAAACATTAAGCAAGGGCGAACGCCCTCAGATTCCCCAAAAAAGCGAGGAGCAGGAGATAAACCATCTAAAACAGGAAGAAGAAAATCTCAACAAGGTGCAAATGCATCCCCATCCAAGCCAGGAACAAGTGGGACTTCATCTAAACAAGGAGCGAGTGGATCCCCGTCCAAGTGAAGAACAAATGCAACATCCAAGCGAGGAGCAAGTGAATCTCCGTCTAAAGTAGCGAGTAGATCCCCGTCCAAGTCAGGAACAAGTACAACATCCAAGCGAAGAGTAAGTGAATCTCCGTCTAAAGTAGAAGCAGGAAACTCACCGTCGAAACGAAAATCCCTTGAATCACAGTCTGTATTGGAGGATATTGAAGTGTCGGAAGCCACTGACAGCGATAGTGATGCAACTGTTCAGGATACTCATGATACTCAGTTTTGATAGTCAATTTAAGATAGTCATTACTTTAATCCTAATTTTGAGCTACCTCAATTGATACTTTTGATTATCTCTGTCTTGTTTTCTTTCTGTTCTTTTACATTTATTTGGCTTTCATGCCTCCCCTTTTTGTCGGATATCCCTTGTCACGTAACAAGATGTTAGGAGATTTTAAGTTTCAGTCTCTTAAAATGGGTTATTAATGTTTTCCTATTGTCTCAGGTAAATATAAAAAAAAAAAAAAAAACCAGAAGTTGAATGCTGTTTTAAAAGCTTTTCAATTTTAAGCCTTTTCAAAAGATTTTGAAAGGTGGTTAACTTCTTTATTCAAGGGGATAATTTCTTGCTTGTTGTCTTCTAGAAATCTTTTAAAACACACATTTTTTTAAAAAGAGTTTAGCAGCTTTTACAATCAAATTTCAATCGTTATTTGGCTCCAATGAAATCGATGCAGTTGTATGGTGAGAACAGAGTCAAAATATTATTCATCTGGACCACCTTTGAAAATTTAATAGACAAAAACAAACTAAGTCTAAAACCAGCAAAAATGAAATTTTTCGAAATGCAATGAAATGCAATAAAAAAACTACAGACCCATTTATTTTTCAGCCAATCGGCACTGATCCCTGACAAACAAACCTCATTGGATGTCAAAAGAGCTACAAAATTTAGAAGAAAGTAGGTAATGGTAAATTTTTTAAACAGCCACCAATTTGCTGAAGTTACATTTGGTTAAACAGAAATGCTTATCACAATGACTTCACGGAGAGAAAAGGAAACCATGATTTGTATGTGACCATGAACACAAAAAAAAACAAGGAAAGGAAAAAAAAGCTTCAGATAACTTATAACCACAATGGTAAAACAAAATCACCTTGGGTTCCTTGACTAGAGCTTTTCTGAAGTTGAAGGCACTCTATCGAATCTTTTCAAGATCAATAGAGGGAATGAAACTATACAAAAAGGATGTAGTCGAGAGAATTATCAGGAAAATAAGGAGTGTTATCACGATTTTAACAAGAACCAGTTGGAAGGGTGGTTGTACGCGAGAAGAATAGGATAGTGCAGAAGGAGGCTGTAAGTTTTCTCATCAACCTTTTCACTCAGTTGGACCCACTGGTTGAGCCACTGAACCAGTTCTTCATTTTTCACGTTGACAGGATTCAAGCCGCGCAAGAAACATGCCTGAGAATCAGAAAATTATCCGTTATAGATCCAAGCAGCTTCAATGTGAACTATTGGTAAAGAAGTGAATTTTTTCTAGTTCCAATCAGTTTCATATTTATGCCTAGGATGTCTACTATGACCAATTAAAAAAAAAGTAACAGAGGTACTTTCTGGGTACTTTTTCTACACCAATCAGAAAAATGAAGTACTTTTGACAGCTACTAGCTGAAGTCCTTGATATGATACAGTAACACCTCGATTAACCAATCAATTGTGGTGGAAGTTCAAGCCAGCTATCAAAATCACCAGATAATAGAAAGTGCGTAAGAGCACATAAAATTCTATTGAGATTTGAAAATTTTCAATAAACCATCGACAGATATTTTTAGGTCGAATTGAATTACAACTGAATATTCCACAGCTTTGCAAGTCCAAATTTGTATTCTTTGATTTGACATCAATACAGTTGCATCTCATAGTAACGTTCACCGAAATAACGTTCTGCATTTAATTCCCATTCAAAAACATTGTCGGGAGATAAAACTGTATCCTGCTTGTTTGTCTACCAAACCATAAAAAAAGCAGTAAACTAACTTACCCATTTAAGTTCATCAAAAGTTAAGTTCTCTGCTCCTCCTTCTTTCTTAATGGCTGCGTCCATAAGTTGGATAATTTCTGCTCGCCTTGCCAAACGGGCTCTTTTGCGCCATCCAGAGTGCATATTGTGCACTTTTAACAAATGTTTCTAAAAAAAAAAGCATAGTTGCCGAACTTATTCTTAATGGATGCAGCCTAGTAAAGAGTTGTTTACAAAAGAGGTCAATCTGCGATGGTTTCCTACGTACATAGAGTTCTTTTGCATAAATCCAGTTTGTCACTGCCAAAGGACCATTAATTTTGACCCAAAAATCAAAGGATGAAACAAAAATATAGCAATTTAATATGACATCCATAGAATTATCGGACCAAAATGAAAATATTGTAATATTATATGACCATTAGACACCATGCTGTTGTGCATGATTTATTTTCCAATTATGTAAATCAATAGATTTGACAAACATGTTGGAAATTTGGCAAAGCTTGTGCTTTTAGGTAACAAACAGAGCAAATAGCAATTTGGAATAAAACCTTTCTAGTCTTTATTTGGTGTTTTTGATCATCCAACTTTTTTAATATTTCTTGCAGCCCTTGCCACAAATTGTCAGAAATACCGTATACACTCGCAGATAGCCCGCACCTTGTTTCCCAATTTCAGTGCTCGAAAATCAGGATGTGTGTTATCTGTGAAACTCACTGAAATTGCGGAAGGCACTACTTGATGATGCGAGCAAAACAGACCACAGTGGGCACGGGTGGGTTATACAGGAATTTTTTTTTTTTTGACCTCCTCAAAATCTGGGGTACAGGTGCGGGTTATCTGCGGGCATATAAGGTAAGAGCATTACTGAATTGTAAAACTTTTTTGGTCTGGAAATATCTTTACGTACCATATTATATTTTTTAATGTCAAAAATTAAATGCTCTTAGAAATACTGAATCAGCGCATATGGAATACATTCCTTTGTGAAGGAAACAACAGCATGTCCCTTTTGAAGAATTTTAGTTTAAGTAGCCTACTATTGGTCTCAAAGAAATCAAACTGAACTTACCAGATGACTAGATTTTAGATTTTTTAAATGATATGGAGGTTTGGAGAAAAGGATTGAACACTGGATCAATTCTTGAACCGGAGGCTGCAGTCCACTTCCAATATCCCCTAACACACTGAGCCATGTTTTTTTCAACCTCTCATCACAGTCCAGTTCAGATGTACGTCCCTGCAAACAACTGCGGGCATAAAGAGAATATTAATATTTGACCAAAATAATGAGAGGAGAATAAAAAAGGAGAATATTGAGGGAATACAGATTCTGCTTCTGGGTTTATTTTTTTACCATCTTGACAGGCCCCTCACAATATGTACTTACTTCACGATTTCTCATTTTTTTTTTCTTTTTTTGGGGGGTGTGTCGCACTTGGTAGTTTTAAAATTTCCAAGGAAACACCCAGCTCCGTATTGACGTTTTGCCTAACAACAAAACTGCACAAGAAAAATTTAAAAAAATTTTGGAAGAGCTTGGTGAAACTAGAAAAATTATTATTGAATGACACATTTCCTGTGTTGTTTTGCTGATCTGCCACAAAAAAAACTAGTACTAAGTAGTGCCGGTTTGGCTCTAATTATTCAGAATACATAAGGATGAGTAAAAAGAGGAGCCGACCGGCTAAAACTAATCCACCTCTTGATTTGAATTTGGTGCGACATGCCGGAACCGCTCGGGAGCACTACTTCGGCTACGATTTCTCATTGTAAATTGTCTCTTTGACGGTGAGCAAAAGAAACTTTTTGCTCCAAAAATCTTCTCAAAATTGCCTCCTTGAGAAGAAAAATGACATACACATCACTCCACTAATAGTATTGGCATTACTTCACCCTTGAATGTATGCAATGTATTACTGATGTATTCTTCTCCATTTCTTCAGATCAATGAAAATTTGTTTTCCTCCCATATATGAAGCTCTTTTAATAAAAAGGAGCACCGCAGCAACAAGGCCTAGTTTGAAGCATTTTAATTTTATGTTTTTCAGTGTGATAGCAGTAACAACATGCCAGGCTGTAAAAACTTCTAGTTCGCTTATCAGACACTTCAAGCTTCGATTTTCATTCACTCATTGCTGGTTTAGAATGATATTGAGGACTAATGAATTGAGAAAATAATCAATTAACCAGTGCAGGAAAATTATTGAGTACAGTCAGTGATTGAAACTGGCCAAACAGCTATTTGCCGGTAAGAAATCGCCTTTGGCTGCTTAGAAATGAAACTAGCGGCTAAGCCTTAGCCACTAAGAAAACCCTTGTAAAACTCCGTTTTTAGGATTTTTCGTGTTTTTAGGGCTATTCAATGGGGTATTCCTGACTTGAGGCATTTTGAGAGGGCAATTTTTTATTTTGGCCTCTAAGAAATCTGAAATGGCCTATAAAAAAAGTTGCAGGCCAGATTGTTGCTAGGACTTCATGCCGGGTTTCAAATACTGAACAGTACTCTCTCTTCATAGTGACACCCGTTATAGCAAAAATTTCTCCTTAGTTTATCTCTGAATCTTAAAAGAGAATCTAACTATGTTCCTCCGTAGAGAAAAAAAAGGAGGTGTTTGCATTTTGGGCATCTTGGAATTTTTTGATGACGTAGGTCGGTACGGCGACTTTTATCATCAATTTTCTTGGAAATGGTGTAGTTTATGGAAAAAATGCATTCTACATAAGGTGTTTGAAATTATATCAGGAGTTCATTAAAGCAAAAAAATCGGACATTATGGTCCGTTTTTCATACTTCGAATTCCAGATTTCGCTGGCCAGGTTGTACCGACTTACGTCACAGAGTAAACAAACCTCAAGATGCAAACACCTCCTTTTTTTTCGCTATGATGTTCCTCCATTTGTAATCCTCATCAGAATGAGCAATAGAAACATTCAACTAACTTGAAAACTGGTTCGAAATTCTGTAACCGCTGTTTGTGATCTTCTAATGCAAACTTGGCTCGCTGCTGCAGGGACCAATAGTGTGATGTGAGGAGATACTTCGGAAACATTAACCTGAAAAATAAAGATCAAGGACACTATTATAAATAGATGAATTAATACAATGTTTTTTACAATGCTTTCGAACAATTTGTTTTTGTTCTCAGGCACGATGATAAATTGAATTCTAGAATTTCTGAACGATTGGGTATTTTAAACATCTTCGATCTCTTCACTTTGAGACTCAAGTGCACTTGTAGAATGACATAGGATTATTTATTACATGCCAAGCTGAGTTGCTAATAGCAGTTCACCTAAACCTCCTTCAGGACTTATAAAAAGAACACCAGTTGGTTCACCATCGGGTAAGAATGAAACATTATACCTATTCAGATGTTTTTTTGGCACAAAAAGAACAAACCTGACATTTGAATTAAAAGTTACTGCATTAAGAAATTTGTTGCTGGAGCTGCAGCTAAGATTTTGAAGGAGAAAATGTGATCACAACCAAAACACGGTGTAAAGAAAATTAAAATCTTATGGAATTTGAAAACAAATACTAACGCTAGAGGAAAAACTAAGTAGTTGGAAAACGGAACTGGAGTAAACAGTATAACAGGTGTCAGTTGAATTATATTCCTTGGCATTGTGAAATACAGCTCTAACTCTTTCCTCCGTAATATTTTCAAGCCTGAGTAAGAAACTCGTCGATTTATCTTGTAGTACTCCTTAAAATCTTGCACAAAATCCTGAAAGAATAAACAACATTAAATTAGTGGTTTTCTATCACAAAGAGTCTCAGGTTGGCTTTGAAAAACCTGCTTTAATAGTTTGATCAGTTTAATGTAATTTTGAAAAACTGGATCAATTAATGTAGTTCTGCCTGCAACTACTTTTTGGGAGTTAAAATTTCTCAAGTGCCCTTGAATTTGATTGCAGGGTCATTTATAACTTCATTCAGCTTTCAAATAAAATTCCTGCCATAACTTTTGGTATGTGAAATCTATTAAAGACTCCATAACCCACTATAATTGTTACAGAGTTGACCAAAATCAACCTAACTCCATTTCCTGCCTAATTTTTGTCTGTCTTTGATTATTTTACATCAAAATTAAGCAACATAGCACTCTCAAACTCTTCGCAAATTTCTCTGAGAGTATAAAGCATTTTTTCACAAAATCTGGATGCAGAACACTACTTACAAAGTTTTCTTGAAAAACAACAAAACGATTGAAAAATCTGAGTGATCAGGAAGATTCTAGTTGGTGCCGTAGAGTGGACCCTTAAACAAGGTATAAATTGAAGCATTTTGAAAAATATTTCCTCTTCAAAATTTTGGATTAAACAGGATTTGGGCAATGAAAACTACTGAAATCCACTTCGAACCATATTAACCTTGTTACTAAAGATCGGTTAAAAAAAAGTTGAATTTCCTGCTCACAAGAAAAACTATGTGTCTTCTTGAATCAAATTGGGCACTGCAACACTGCAACAGTTACGGCAGAGTTTGGAATGAGGAGCGTTCCTTCCCCCACCTTTGTAATTCAAAGTGTAAATAATGCACTATAAGCTGAGCCAAAGTGCAGATATTGAGTGGGTCATAATTTCATACTAGAAAGACTGTCACTGTAACTTTCATTTAGGGTGAGATTTAAATCAAGGAGAAACTTGTTTTTTCTATGAACGGGAGGTTTGAATTTTGAGAAGGTTGTGAAAAATATAATTTTGTCAGTAAAAAATCATTTTCAATGATTTTTGTGGTACTTATCATGTTCTCTATCGGATTTTGAGGACAAAACGTATGCCAGAATGCTTAAATTGAGGAGCTTGGAAGACAAGGCGAATAGGTGCAGTTTTTATAACTTCAAAAAAAGCGACTTTAAAGTTCTGAATTTGTGCTCCGAAAAACTTCAAAATTTACAAAGGTTTGTCTCACAGCTTCATGAATGTCTCCTGAAATTTTCAGCTCAGTTGAGCCAAATTGAGGCCAGCAGTTGGGCCTAAAATGAAAGTAGGTCCCCTTAATGCACTTATCCCATAACCTGTTTTCTCTGGGTCGAATGACTTTCAGACAAAACCGCTTGGTATTTTGATAGACCTTCAACCACTGAAAAACACGCACAACTTTCAATTTTGATCGAAGACATGCTTCTGAGCCCGCGATTTCATTTTCATTTCCATCTTTCCATTTTCAACACAAAATGATTCGAATTTCTGTTTCCCCTTCGCCTTTCCTTCCCGTTTTTATCTGCTGTGCTTTTAGTGAGGTCTACTTGTTTTCTTGTATCTCACCAGTTGAGATATATGCATGACAGGCTACAGCACGCAGCTGAGGCGACTGGGCTCTAATCTCTAGTATCAAATTTCTAAAACTGCACTTATGCGCCTTGTCTTCCAAGCCCATCAATTCGTATCTTGTCTGGTGGTCCATTATTCTATTGAAAATAATAGGCCCATAGATGAAAGTCCCTTTTCACATGGACTGTCAAATCCAGATGATAAAATTCTAAAGGGGCTACTCACCTTGGTGCCTACTGTAAAAATCCTATACACTTTCATCGCAGCAGGAAATTTTTTCTCCAACACGTCGGCAAATCCACTGACATACTTGGAGAACTTTGATAAAGCGTATTCGTTGATGGAGCTTTTAACATTTGGTGATGAGAATTTGGACTCCTTGGAATTCGAGGTACGATTGTCAATTTTCGGGTTATCATGCTTGCCCCTGTGATGAAAAACGAAAGATACTTGATGTACTTTATTTAGTAAGGATTAAAGGCAGGGCAGACATCATTAGACTAGCCCAGCCACTATTCAAGATAGCACAACATTTTATTAATGCAATTTTATCAGATTTTCTTATAATGTTCAATTTAATTTGAACCAATCGTAGCAAAAATATTATAAAAATCTTCTCTGCTTAAAGTTCATCTTCTTTTGTTACGGCCAAGATTTCTTAGGAGGAATATTAATGCTAGATATGATTTGATTCCTTCTAATTTTGGATAATCTGTACACCATGGAGATACAAAGGATTTTCATATAATCTCAATTTGCAAATTTTAACTTTGGTAGAGCTCGCGCATCTTACGTTGAGACAAATGTTAATCCCTGATTAGCTTTGAATTAGCACTACTCAACAAGTTAATACATGCAGTCAGATGGCACCACTGATAAGTGGTGACATAAACAATACTTTGATGTTTGTCTCTGCCACACACAAGCTCTACCTTGCTTCAGATGGTATTCCTACCCATGCTGTTACCTAAATGGTCAATACTGCCTTGTCAATTCTGTGAAGTGTTAACTTGAGTGACAGAATCAAGCTGCTGGTCCAATGATCAACTAGATGAACTTTTGTATGAGAGTACAGTCCACGTTGAAGAAGTTTACGCTCTTCCAGACTGCACCAGAGGATTGTTTGACATTACTTTTACTTGTAAAATGAATGCAACAAGCAAGATGGCGGATCTTCTGTCGCAGTCTAAAGGTGGGCGAACTTATTTGGCATGGACTCTAAGCTGCTTTAACTTGGAGAATTCTGCCTGCCAGGCCTGTGCATTCAGGAAGTTACCTTTACTTCTCTCTAACCAAGTGAGCGGAGTATCATAGTCGCGTACAGCATCACTGAGCCACAACGCAGAGAGGTGGAATCAAATTTAATTAAAATACTCTCCTCGTAGATAGATTAGAGAATATATTCAACATACCTCCGTCGAATCAGCCACTGATTGCACGTCAATGTTTCTATCTTTCTCGTACTGGAACGAACGAAAATGGACATTCTAGGAGATTCTGCAGTTTACCGACGTGCTATTGCGTGCATGAGCCGAATTTAATGAGGACAGGAGTTACAGGAACCATGAAAGATTTTCTGATGCTCAACACAATTGGACGAGGAAATTAATTGAAGAAAAAGACCGTAAATTTACTCTAACTTGCACAATCTTTTACACCAAATAACTTACTTAACCTCAAAAGATTGTGTTGTGTTTTGTTTGTAACATGGAGAACTACTAGCGACATCTCTGAGCGAGCTTTGAAGCTTACGTAGCCTCTTCCTTTCTTTTCTAGCTCCAGAGACAGAGATGTTTTAATTTTTGATTTTGTGAAAAGGAAGTCCATACGAATAATAATTAGCTTTGATCGATGCATCATCATGCTTCCAAATTAGTGAAGATGTGTGCTTACTTCATGGCGTTTAAAAATAGAGACATTTCAATACCTGTACTTCGCTGCTTTGCTGTTAGGTACTCAGTGTGACCAAGTGCTTGAAGTTAAAGTAGATGACGGGTTTTGTGTTTTAAAAAAAACCCAGCTACAATCATATCTCAAACTAAAACTCGCGAAAGATCAAATTCCATCTAATCTTCTCCTCTCTTGCTCTACTTATCAATTTCTCTTGGCGGTTCAGTTGTTGCAGCTAAAATGAGTCTTAGAAGACGCGGACCTAAAAACTCCTTCAATTTGAAAAAACGCAACCAGTCATTCTATTTGCGTGTTGAGCTTACCGCGGTAGTTATTTCACCTCTCCTTTATTTATCATCCTCATTTGTATTCCACCTACTATGCGTTTCCCTATGTGAGCTGTGTACCTACATCACCAAAGAATTTTATCTTGAAGTAAAGAAGAAAAATAGATTTTTCCCTTTCCCCCTTTTTTTTTTAAATTCCAAAAATGTTTGTCAGTGTCCGGTGCGTTGGGCATTGCAAATCTGAGAATTGTGGAGTTTTACTGAGTCTGTCAACAAGAAAAAAAGCGATTTTTTTTTTTAAATATCTCCGATATTTTTAATGGATTGTAGTTTACCTCTCTCATAGGTTTTACAAAGTCACAAAATACTTCTCTCTAAATGTTAGGAATATAATTTTACATCCAAATTTTCTTTGGGCTTAATTTACACCAAGAGAGGCCGTTTTAATGGTTGAGATGGTTAGAATAGACACGGGCCTTTCAAAATGGGCACTACTTACTTCAATGTGAGGCAAATCATGGGTCTTGTGGCAATTTTCAGAAAATGACTTTGATAGGTATGGATACATCGATGTTGAAGCTACCTACCCTGGTAAAAATTGGCAGTAGAATCTGTGTTCCAAAATACCATAGACCTAAAGCCGGCGATAAGATTTCCAATAGCTTCTGTAGCCGGCTGTACAATTTCTTATAGCCTTTTATGGCCGATGGCGATTAAGCAACAGCCAGACGATAAAGTTTATACTAAACGTTACTAAATACGGATACCAGGACTTAGTTAGTTTTTGGACTACCGCTCTCTTTTTGTGCCGTAGTATCTTGATTTATTTTGCGAGGAAAGCTCCGTACTTTTGAAGGATGCCTGTCATTCTTAATATGTTGGAGCGCCTTCAATTTCTTACGATACTGTGCAATACCTCTGGTGTGAAATAGTTGCTTCAGACGCCGTGGCACGCTGCGGCGCGGTGGATGGGCAAAGAGTGCGAAACGCGCAATGGCGCCTACAAACCTAACACGGATACTTCAAGCATTGCGGAATGCGTGAAGTATCCCTGTTAGGTTTGTAGGCGCCAGTACGCCGCCGCTCCGCTTTGTGTTAGGCTCTAATATTTAATCTCGCGGAGTCAGCGTTTTTCAACTCATGATTTTGAAATGTTTGCACACTCTGTATGGACTATTCTCATTTTAATCGATGAAAAAAAAAAAATGTTTTAAAGGAAAATATAATGTGTGTTTTGTAAATATTAAGGTAGTTCCGTATCAAACTTAATGATTTCCAAAGCACACGAATTTCTACACAATTTTTTATAGCCTTTTATAGCCACTGGCGATAAAGTGTAAAGCCCGGCGATAGGAACTATAGCCCGACTGTATACTTTTTTATAGCTTCGTATAGCCCGGCTGTATGATTTGCTCCGCTTTCTACAGTCAGCTATATGATTTTCAATAGCCTTCTTTAGTCGGCTATAAGAACTCCTATGGTATTTGGAAACGCAGCTCCTATCGCCAATGGACCACTAGATAAGGTACGAATTTCAGCATTCTGATACATGTTTCTTAACCAAAATTTTACGTAAAACACGATGCTCACAACGAAAGTTACCGAAATTAACTCCTTACGAAGATATTTAATGATTCTTAATGCGTGAATTCAAACCACCCGCTCATGAAAACTCAATGCTCTACGTGATTCACATCGCGCGTTAAACGTTATCATGACAGTCTCTGCGATATAAAAATCTGGCAACCTCAATCTTGACGGTTTGGCTCAGTTATAGCAAATTGCTAATAGTTTGAACAACACATGATGGGAAATGAACATTGCTCGATTGAGAAGCTTGCTGAAACCGTTGTAAGTGGGCGATTTGACTCACGTAGAGTTTTGAGTTTCATGTGAGCGGGCAGTTCAAATTCCTCGTAACCAATGTGAAATAAAAACGTTAATATCTTCGTTAGGAGTTGGTTTCCGTAATTTTCGTTGTGTGTATCGTTTTCTACGCTAAATTCTGGTTAAGTAACATGTATCAGATCGCTTAAATTCGTACCTTGTCTAATGGTCCATTTTCACCAGGGTAAACCGAATCATTTCTTTCGGTTTGTAACGTTACGCGACTCTCCTGTCGGATTCGTCTTTTTTGAAAAAAGCCAGATCGATTTTTTTTGCAAAAATTTCGTCTGATTTTTCTCCGTGCTCCCTAAATTATTCTCTGAAAACTTCGCAAAATAATGTCAAGCAAAAATAAAGTAAGAGCGGAAATTTTCAACCCCGCAATCTACGATGACTGACCACACTGCTCAACAAACTCCACTCCTCTCTGTACTCACTCATTACCACACATTACCACTCGTTACTCGGATGGTAGGTATTCCATCTCAATAAAGCAAATAAACAAATCCGGCATTTTTTCAAATGCCTGTAGGCAATTATATGGTCAATTCATGGTCTATTTACATGGTATTAATGAGAAAAAAGCGCGGATTTAAATGCGGTTTTAGTGGCAATATTCATAAGCTGGCAACACTGGATCACTGCCATTTAAATCAAGGATTCTACAGCCGTGCTAAGGAAGAACGCCGTACGAACATTTGAGAGTTGCCAAATTTCCTTCGACAAAATGTTTAGGAAAGTTATAAATATTTTTCCTTTATATTTTCAGAATCTTTAGGTAAAATTGCGAACTAAATCATCTGAAAAATTGGGAGGAAAATATTCATAAATTTACCGAGATATTCGCGTTTTATTAAAGCAAATTTTACAACGCCTGAAGGTTCATACGGCGTTTTTCCTTAGCACGGCAGTCTAGGAGGTGAGCAACACATATAGCACTGGACTTTATTTTGCGATAAAGAAACACTCTATTTTATTCATCCTTAAAAACACCTATTAGCACAGGGAAACTGATGACACGTCGATGATGACCAAAAGGCGAAACCACGTAAGTACCCTCATCCTCCATAGCGAATTTTCAACATTCCCTTTCCTATTTTATTCTTTTGAAAAGAAACACGGTAATTACGAAGCCTGAAATTCGCACAGAATAATCTACTAACAGAGAAGATAAATCATGAAATAAGTTTTCAAGAAATTACGTTATGCAACGTTGCGAAAGGAGATACGCGGTTTCGCACTTTGGCCGTCGATGTGTTGTTTCTAAAGTAAGCCAGAGATACTAGTTCCTAATTGCACAAATGTAATTAAATTGTTTTACATTCACTTAAATGGACGAAACCCAGTTTCGCCGACTTGCGAGAATTGCATTTGACTTGACTTGGTAATATTTCCAGTTAATTTTAGAAACAACATACGTGCTATTAGTTTCTCTGTGCAAATATAAATGAGTTCGGAAGAAAAATTTCTGGTTGCAAAATGTAGTCAAACTGACGGAAGGGGTATGCCGAGGTACCTAAATGGGAGAAAATAGATCAATAAAACCCCCATTCATTTATAAATAAAATACATTTATAACAGACTTACACGAAGAGGCTAAACAAGAAAGAGACATGCCAATTTTTGTCTTCATAGTAGATTTAACAAAAAATAATCGTAGTAATGCAAATAATACAATAGTATTTATCAAAATGTAAATGCAAGAATAATTCTTAGTTTTCCATGACATGCATGAGAGCATTGAAAGAAAGATAATACAGGTAAGTAGTGGAATTTGGGGACGTAATAGGCAGAAGGAAAAAAAAAAACACATAAAATACGAACATTTCCATTCTCTGCGCATCCTAGTTTTCTCCCCTAAACATGTATGTACCTAACGTTACCAGTGTCAATGATGTGAACGAATTACACGGACTTTTCAGTAAGAATGAGTATGTATAATAATAAAAAATAAATAACAGTAAAACACACATGAAACATATAACGTCGCTTCACCTCTCTTTGCTGCATATATGTGCATTTTAAACACGATGCAGTTATCGCTAAAATAACAGAAGTCTTCCAGAAATACTCAGACTTATACGTCGTTCCATCAAAAATTACCCTGTAATATTCTAAATAGGTAAAACTGTCAGAGGCAGGATACCCTCTTATTGGTATGAAAAACTGATCCAATTATTAAAAATTTCAACTATTTTAGACCAAACTTTTTTTTACACAACTCACACGAGGTACTTTCCTCATATAGTGTGGAAAATGGATCGTTAAAGTTACATCAATTTGAATGCATATCAAGCCTAAACATCAGAGGTTTCAAAACTTGACTTAGGTGCATTCATACACATAGAGCACCGAGAATTATATACAAGAAGTCAATTTACGACAAGACCAAACATTATCAACGAGTTTTAAGATAGAGAGAAATATACTTCTTGAAGTAAATCGATGGGATCGTCAATGTTTTGTAAGTATCAAATACCATTAAAATTAAATCAACGGCAATAATTTACCAACGAGGCTCTGGTTTGTCATTTTTGATCGTAGAGAAAATTGTAAAGGGGATTAATTTCGTTAAATTTTGAAGTAATAATGTGTCTTGACTTTAAAAATCTACCTCGAAATTCATAAAGTATCTCATATTTTAGTGTTTAATTAATGGGCGTTCGCTCTTATTTGGACCGCGTATAGCAGATAGGAACCAAGCCACATCAGCTATTGCCAAATCTAACGGGGCAATTTAATTTTTCACAAGAGAACGTTCGTGCAGATTCCTTTGAAAACTGTAAATAATTTGCTTCGAAATATGCAGAAAATTCACTTGAATTTGCACAAAAATCTGCACAACCGTTTTAATGTGAAAAATATACAGTTGCCCAATTAAACTTGGCAATAGCTGATGGGGCTTGGTTCCTTTCTGCTTAACGAGGTCATTTATTAGTACGATGGATGTACGTGTACCTCGAAGGGTATAATATGACGCACTATCTGACGTCTGAACTGATCTAATTTTCTTTAATCATTTGGGTTAACGTGGAGGATTCAAACATCAAAGTACGATTTTTTGACCAACGCAACCAGTGACCCGTGGTCTCTGTAAAAACTCCGTAAGAGAAGCTGTCGATTTCCCTCGCACGGCGCTCAATTCAACATGACGTCATTGAGACGTGAGTCTGACGTCATATTCTCGTGAAGGTCGAGCACTGCGACCGAAGGAGCCGGGATCTTCCCAGTTCAAAGCATCGTGCCGTTTTGAGTGCATTCCATGAGTTGCTTGGCGACGCCGTCCAGGTCGCAGCTGGGCTCCGACTTTTGAGCGACGCTGGTTAGGGCATTTTTCATGGAGGGCAGCACGTGTCGCGCCGAGTAGCGGCAAAAAGGTCGTGACTCCCCGCAAACGTTGTCGGCGAGGTCGAGGAAATTGACGTCACACTGCCTCTCCGTGGGTGCTCCTTCACACTGAGGACACTGCAAGAGGTATTCCAGAGAAAGGAATGTTAGGTATACTGATGACTAATGAGGAAACTTACACGAGAGTCTCTTATTTTAACGTACGAACTCAGTAGTTCTGCCGCACTAAGTAAGAACGTCGTATGAACCTTCAGACGTTGCCAGATCTCTTTCGAAAAATCACACATTTTTTGGAAAATAGACCATCAGACAAGGTACGATTTTAAACATTCTGATACAGGTTTCTCTGCCAAAATTTCGCTTAGAGAACACGATTCTTGCATCAAAAATTACTGAAATGAACTCCTAATCAAGATGTTAACGTTTTCAGGTCATTGGCGGATCCATCAAATTGGCAACATAGTCTTTCCTCCATTTAAACCTATGGAAATGTATCGCTTCTTTGAGAACCAGGTGCTCCGGCAAGAATCGATTATTTAGCTTAGGTTTAAATGCAGATAATCCGGCGTTGCCAAATTGCTGGATCCGCCTCTGTTTCAGGTTACATTGGTTATGGGAAATTCAACTTGCCTGGCACAAGAAACGCAATACCCCACGTGAGTTATTCGCGTCTTACATCGGTTTTGGAAGGCTTCTCAATCAGCATTTTCCTTTCCTACCCTTTTTGTTCAAAGTGTGAACAATTTGTTATATGAGCCGAAGCGTCAATATTCAGGTTGCCATATTTTCGTATTGCAGAGACTGCCAATGTAACGTTCAATGTACGATTTGACTCACGTAGGCCATTGCGTCTTTATGATGCGGGATGTTTGAATTCGAATAGCATGAAACATTAAATATCTTGCTTAGGAGTTAATTTCAGTAATTTTCGGTGCGCAAATCAAGTTCAACGTGCGAAATTTTGGTAAAGAAACTTTTTTCAGAATTTTAACTTCGTACCTTGTCTAGAGGTCCATTTACGTATATTTACCCTCCTTTTTTTCAGGAAACTTGTTCGTAATTTGATCTGAAGTGCTTAAACGTTTCAAAATTATTCATAACGTTCGAAAAAATAGATATTTTCTGAGAGGCAATTTGGCAACATCTGAGCGCTCACACGGCGTTTTTCCGTAGCACGGTGCAGTTGCCTTTTCTCTTTTCTTAGGGTGAACTAGGAAGCATCAAGAAAACAAGTCATGTGTGACCGGATCAGTGAAAAGGGACCTTATCTTCCGAGAGGAAAGAGTCCTAAACTTTTTGCAAATACATCATCGAGGAAATGCCATCTTCATGACATTATGGCGGTACAACTTATACGGTATGGTCATTGGTCATGTTCAGGGAATGACAGGAGACTTGTTTCCGAAAGGAGGTCCTAGAATGGGTCCCTCCCGGGAGGCCCTCCTAGGAGGGCATTCATATTTTCCTCCCCAAGACAAAGCGATGCCACATAGTGGATCGTGTCAATAGGAGAGGTCAGCAAAATTCGGATTCTTTAAACGCTTATAATTCCGTTTATACAAAACTTTGAGGGTCTAAAAGTGATTCCATTGGTTTCCTTATGAAATGTTCTAGTAGAGGCACCCCTTGAAATTTAAAATGTGACGAAAGGAACATCAAATTTGCAGTTTTAGTCAAAAACTTCATGACCGACCTCTCTAATTGACTCGATCCGTTGTGCGCCACTTTAAATCCCTCTGCAGTCGCTCTCAACTTAATAGAGACCATTCTGTGAAACTTCAAGAAAATAGGTCAGGCAGTCTCCAATTAAAACAGAACAGATATTGTGAGATCGACTCTCTCTTATTGATTTCGTTTCATTGAGAGTTATTATTAGTTCTCACGCAATCCCGGATGAGATTAAGGCGCCACGCGCTGACGTTATCGGATATAGTCACACATAAGGAACGAACCTTTTATTTCCGTGTTTAATCTTTTATATACATTTAAGCTCTCGGTACCATATCCACCTAATTGTCCCCAGTACTCTCCAGTGCGAATATATAGGTCCTTACAAGTCTGATCATGTCTCTCTAAAAACGAGTAGTGCTTACCAAATTTTCTGTTGCTTTCGATTGAAAAATGAATACAGAAGAGAGCAATTTAAAAAGCAGGCATTTAAGCGCGGTGACTCTCATATTTTTCTGAAATTTTGTCAAGGGAAAATGTTAGATTTCCATAAAGATTACTGAAATGCTTTTAGGACGACGCGTGATGCGCGATGATCGACCTCTCCCGTTGACTCGATCCACCTTGCGGCTGCGCGCTGCGGATGACGGCGCAGTGATACAACTATTCGTGCTTAATGGATGTCCGTGTTGTATCTGCAAAATTGAAGGCGCTATGGCGCGAGCCGTGAACTTGCAATACTTCGCTCTATCTGCTAATGAGGTGTCAGACCTGATACGCGTCTTCAGTTGCCTTCCTGATTGTTTGTAACTAGTGTTGCACTAAACAGCATTTCTGTATGGAAGAATATCGTGCTCGAATGAACTGTTTTCCTCTACAATGATAACTTCAGTTGTGTACTGAATTTACTGCACACGGCCAAATTACCAACTCTTCCGTCTAAACGACTCTTGCGCCGAACTGCAATCTGTTCGAATATTTCAGTATGTTCGGTGATTCAGATGCATTATATTGTCAAAGAGACGACCCAAATAGGGTATACTCGTATTCATTTTAAACTACGCATCTTTAAGGAGCAGTTCATAAAATGCATGTCGCTCTAAGAATCATGCAGATTTTTTTCTTCCTCCCTCTCCCCGTAACGCACCCGTGACGCAAGGTCAGACCTCCTGCCTCTCCCTTTAAGGCGTTGCGTTACAATAATGTGTATATCGAAGGCAAATAGTCAAATCAGGCATTTTGTCAAATGCCTAGGCAAATAGTCAAATATTCTTACTTAGATTGAAATTTTGATTTTTTATCCTAATTTTAAACAGAATAATTCGTTGCTCCTGTAAGAAATAATTCTCTGTAAAAGTATGCAGCATACAATAGTACTTCAAACAATTTTAGGGTCCTGAATGGACATTTCTCATTAAATGGATCGCGTTAAACAGAAAGGAACCAAGCCACATCAGCTATTGCCAAATTTAATCGGCTAATTTAATTTTTTACATGAAAACAGTTGTGCAGATTTTCGTGCAAATTTTAGTGAATTTTCTCCACAATACGAAGCAAATTCCTCAACATTTTCTAAAGGATCCGCACAAACGTTTTCTCGTAAAAAATTAAATTGCCCCATTAAAATTGGCAATAGCTGATGTGGCTTGGTTCCTTTTTGTTAAACGCGGTCCAAATTTTCAGTACGTCATGAAATATAGAATTTTTAAAATTTTAATATTTAAATGTGCTACAGGCATGTGAAAAGGAAGGAACAAGGAGAGTTCGCGAATTTAAAGACTTATTTTCCCCAAAATATTGAAAACCTGTGAACTCCTCGCCATTTTGACTACCGGCCTAGGCATTCGATAAAATGCCCGATTTGACTAATTGCCTTCAACGTGTATTTATAGCTCCTTATAACTCTTACCTTGCTACAAGTTGAACAAAATGAGTGGATGACGCAGGGTATGATGAGAGCGCTGTGATTGGACGAGATCACCTTCCGGCACAGGATTATCCGGGAGTTAACTTCTGCGCACGACTCATCACCTGTCATTGAAAAAGTTCAGTATTCCTTTGAAGAAGCTTCGATGGAATTTGATGAAAATTAATCTCACAGCTTGATTTTGCATTGACAAAGTATAGAAGGAGACGGATATTGTCTTCATCGATGAGTTACTTTTAATTAGCTCTTAAATCATTGGAAGTTCCTTTTCAGAAAAAAATTGTATCATCTATCGTCGATTTCGACGATCTTTTAGATCGCTCTAAATGTCGGGACGTTAAAACTCCGGACGTAAATTTTACAAAATATTCGTACAGCAGTCTTTTATGCAAGAAATAGCGATATTTCAGTATTTCAGTTATGACTTTCTCGGTAGTGAGTTACCTTGCCTTACCGAAGACTGTCATGTTTGTGGAGATGATTTCGTAAGAATCACCTCATCCTTGATTGAAGATGGGTTAAAAATGTAGCGGGGAATGGATTCAACTATACCCAGTTTTATTTACATACTTATTCAGAGAACAAATCATGTTGATCATGGCTATTTCATCTAAAATATCATATGGATTGTATTTTGCAAAAAGGAACCAAGAGAATTCCAATGTTGCTAAAGTAATTGTGCAACTTTTTTTATCTTGCAAGTATAAACTGATCATTTAAACAAGTTTTATCTTTACTCCCAATAAAATATGAATTTAAGACGAAAATTACCTTCGTAAATTGAATTTCTTGCGTGATTTCAGTAACTTTTTGCCGAAAATGTAAGTTGTACAATCCTATAGCAACATTGGAATGCTCTTGTTTGCCTTTTGCAAAATGCAATCCATATATAACTCCGACGATTTTGATAAAAGATTCGAAAAATCCTTGGAACGTTTCACTCCTTGAATTCATTTCAATTTTTGCCCTCACTCGGAGCTACCGACTTAGAGTTGAGATGCAAAGAAAAAAGAATAAACAAACAGACGAAAACATGCTTTCACAGTCAACAAATACCGATGAAAATTGTCATCGGATTCAAATTACGTAAAATGGCAGCGGGCATGCTGGTGGGCGTTTCTGTGATAGACTTTTTTTATATTTTAAGTCTGAAAGAACCCTCAACGTCACGTTCTCCTTTCAATCACCCGGAAAATCCATTTGTTCTATACAGCCCCAGTTACTGATACATTTATCGAGCTTCAACTATTGCGGTTTATTTTAGCACAATATATTTTATCTTTCCCGCTTGAATCAACAAGAGAAAAATAGCTCGCTATAAAAAAACCTTATAAAAGGGAAAGGAAACCACGGAGCCATATACTTAGGCCGTTCATTTTGGCTTCTCTTATAATTAAAGCTAATCAAAGTTAAATCTAGGTAAAGGAAAATCTAAAATTTAAAAAAAAACAATGATTACCATTGGCGCATGTACATTATTTACAAGTTTCGTTTGGGATTAACTCAATTCACTGGTTTTTCATTAAAAGCGTTCACTAATTAAAATTTAAATTTCTGTTAAAAACTGGGGTTAGATATTCTAGTATTTATAATATTCGTAAATGAAAGTGGTAAAATATAATCTTCAAACTTAGTAGATTTGGCGGTAGCGTATGCTAACTAGAGGAATCTAGTGCTAATTTGATCCGCTAAAATTACGCCTACATTTTAATGCGCTCGAACGGTTAGCAATCAATGTTTTTAGAGAAACTGCTTAGTTTTTTTCCCAGACTTGAATTTAAGTCTAGTAGTTTCTCACAAATTTTAGCGAAAGGATTTTAAGGCGAGATTCTCCGATAGAAAAATATCATAATCCGCGATTCAAGTAAGGCATTTTTAATGAAAGATGAAACTAACATTGTTCAGTTTGTTTGGAGGACGGAAAAAATAATTATTACGTCTCGAAATTCTATGTGTATTTTGCTTCCTTGCAAAAATATGATTGATCAAAGGTAGGTATAATTCAGTTAAAATCGTTGGTTGAGTAAATTGTTTGGAATATGAAATTGAAGATAGAGCAGTTTACGCCGGTTGTTTCAGTGGATATGTTGCTGTGATTAATCGTCATTAAAGATCATTTGAACATTTTTACAGCCAAATCATGTTGAAATGTATAAGTTAGGAAAAACTCTTACCGTTCAAGTCAACTAGTTTTGGGGGAGCGGTATTTTCTATTTTATTGTTATTGTCGTCAACTTTGAAATACCCCTCTGGGTCGGCGGCTTTCTCTTTCTTTACTGTCACTCGTTTTTTCTTCGCCTCAGATATCCCTGATAAACATAAAGACATGACGTTGCGTTTGAATATTGAAAAGCGTGCAAAAATGAACACAAAAGCAATTGAAACAAGCATCATAATGAAATGAAAATGCAAACAGAGGGTGTCAACGGAATACCTGCAGTGACAAGTGAGCAGCGCAACCAGTGCTTTAACTTTAACCCAAAAAAGGAGGATAAATATGGTAGCAAGTCTTTGATTTTTCACAATGCAGCGCAGAATTTTGCAAGGGGCAAGGACGTAATAAAAATTAGGATTTTAGCATTTTTTTAAAGGTGGCACATCGTAGTCCTCCTCGTTTTATGGCGTTTTATTGCCTAATTTTTAGGTGCATTTCAATTATGGCACCGGTGTAGTGATGAAGTTAAAACACTGGCACCAGGAGAGCGTAAATTGCCTCCAATTCATAATGTACGCAACAACGTATACGCTGGGTTAAAATAATCGATCACAGGAATTTCAAATAAAAGCAGCGATGAAGTTTATCAAGTAGAAAATTATTCTACTTTTATCAAGTAGAAAATGAGGCCTTCGCATGAAAAAAGTGACATAGGTAAGATTTCATGAAAGTATCTATATCTGGAATAAACTTAATTGCAGATACGCTTTTTTAGAAAGTTGCTTCCGATTCGATGAATACTATCCATAGGTAAAGTTTGTGAATTAATTTTTTATTTCGTAGTATAAGGCTCTTGATCAAAGAGTACGATATACGGAGCTCCACGTTTCAGCATGCATGGGTCATGGAGATTTCTCAGGACTGACCCGGAAACAAACTTTTTTATTAACCTAGTCAGTGCGTTCATATTATGCACGTCACCACAGGCGCGTTGGTATAATGAAACTTGATTAAACCGTAATTACGTTATGTTCAGCTGCAGCTAGAAACTTTCACGTGTGAGTGAACATTTTCCGAGAACATAAGCTAAATACCAGCAATTAGTATTCGCTTGTGAAAGTTCAAAACCGCGTCTCTGCAATATCATCGAGACAGATTTCCCAAATATATTTTTTTTTTTTTGGAGCAAAACTATTGAATTCGTTGGTTCATTCTTTTTCCTTTTTACTGTTTTCCTCGATTGTTCTCTGTCTCGTGAAGAATATTTGTTACAAATTTCAGGCAATATTACAAGTCAGTTTTTAAATGAAGAGCTGGTGTGGACGTGTAAATTTTGAAAAACTGCGAATATGATAAGTGTGACTGAAGTGTAACAAAACATGCTTTGTTCTTTAATTCATTTTGCCGATTAAAACATTATACACATTTTAGCTTAAAAAGCGTTGTCGTTGCAATCACAATTGACAAAAAGCGAAAACTTTGAAGCATAGCAAGAGCGGAAGAAAACAAGTCAAATCATTGATGCCGAAAAGAAACTTACTAACCTGACCTAAGGTCTCGATCTTGACTGATGCCTCTCCATAACAAAGGTTCAAAACTAGAAAATTATTTTTTGTTTTCGCAGAAATCACAAAAACCTAATCCGCGATAAGATGAAGAAACACCTTTACAAATTTTTGTACGTACTTTTTTTCTGTCCTTATATCGCCGTATATTATACATTTTACATAAAGTTTAGTTTCTAAGAATTAACTTTCTAATTTTACGGCAAAATTCCAAGAGTCATTTTACCGGCAAGACTCCATCATTCAATGGCAACAAGTTTTTAGGATCCATAAAGTCTGATAAAGAAACGTAACTTTGTCCAAAAAGAAAGGTTGGATCTGACGTCAAAACTGCGCCTGTTTTTAGTTACTTTGGCGCAATGCTCCTTATTTTTAGGCGATAAACTCTGATTTTGGACTATATGGCCGTGCAATTAGTTGCCTTGAGATAGGTCGACAGAAATATGATCCTTCAAGGCGACTTTTTGCTAGAGAAGGCTTTTTTTCCATTTGTTCTTTGTCTATTGGTCTTTTTTCAAAATGTTGATGTTTTATCAAACTCGACTTTTTAAATTTATATTTTCATTTGTCTACCATTTTAAGAGTTTTGCAGCTGAAGAGTTCATGTATCTCATAGAGGCTTACTAAGAGTCGGTGAAGGACATGTTAAATAAAAACATTGCCGTTCCTTTCCCTGAAAACAGAGAACTTTTCAATTCTTCTCTCATCTAGAGCTTACTCCCACTTCCTGTATGTTGGGAAAAAATGCAAGTCTTATTCATGTCAGCACATACAGAGTAGCGGTTGAAGGGCACAGAACGCCTAGGGTGGAAGAGAATCCGCCAATGGGTCAGTGGAACCCATTTTAATTCATTTTTTGAACGTACGGATAAGTGAACTAAGCTTCTTGTAATTTTTTCAAATTTGTTTCCCAACATAAATCGTAAAGAGACTCCGTTTTAAAAATTCCAAAAATGGTTCTCATTGGATACGATATTTTTGGTGGGCTCTACTGAGATAGTCAGGTGGGGGAAACGGCGTTTGCTGATTTACTGAGCTTAGCTTTAAGTATCGCCTGCTACGTTGACTAGGCTATCGGTTTTTGATTGGTCGGATTTTGAGTAGCTTATCCTCACTTAAAAATGTTTTTTTTTTAAAAACTTTTTAATACAAGTTTTGGTTTTTTCAAAAAGATGGACCTTTGGAATACTAACCAACGACCCTGCAACCATTTTTTGCCACTACTCCATCGACTCGAAGGTTACTGAAAAGGAGCCAGCCGAGAAAGAACAACTCCACGTTAAACAAAACTTAAAAATAAACATTTATTTCCAAATAAAACACTAAAGTAAATTTCGTCGCATATGTAACAGCAAAATCCCCCCGAAAAAATAAAGCCCGGAGCCCCGTGTTTTAAATGCAGTCGACGGCCTCTCTTTACGCGTAGGACGGTTTCTTACCTCGGTAGGGCTCCTGCTCGGCGCGGTGCTCCTCCAGGATGCGCCGGATGTTCTCCAGGTCGTAGGCGAGCGCCAGCTGGTTCATGACCTGCTCCCGCACCTTGTCGATCACCTGCTCGTTGCGGATCCCCTCATGCGCGCCCGTGTACTTGACCGCCTTGGCGATGATCGCGTCGGCCGCCTCCCGGAGCGAGTCCATCAGCATCTCGTAGTTCTCCGCCTTCTCCAGCTCCTCCTGGGTCTCCGACTTGCCCTGGTTCTCCCGCGCGTAGGCCTGGAGATACTGGTCCAGCAGCCAGTTGTCATCGACCGACTTCTTCCGCCTCCGGTCGATCCCGAAGTAATCCGACCAGTCGATCGACTTCTTGGACATGGCGATCGGCTTCGGGATCTCCGAATTCGTCGCCTCCTCCTTTTGCCCCAACTTCTGCTTCGTCTTGCTCTTGGGCTCCTGCTTCACCGGCGGCTTCGTCGTGGTGTCTAATTTGACCTTCAACTCCACCTCCGTCTTGTTCTTCGTTTGGTTGTTCTTCGGCGTCATGAAGATCCCGGACAGCTCCTTCGCGACGTTCGGGTCAGTCTTCTCGTGGAGCTTGCGCGCGTCCTTTTTGCTCCTGACTAATTTCGAAGAGCGTTTCAAGACGCGCTTATGTCCTTTATCCACGGAACCATCGCGCCACAACCGCTTGCGCATTATGTGGTGGCCTAGACTCCCGGGGATCTTGGGCGGTTTCTCCAAGGGCCGCTTCTGGTCGTCGTAGAGGTTGATGCCGTAGGCGTATTTGCCACCGCGCTTCCACGCCGGCAGGGGCGAGTTGAAGAAGTCGTAGCCGGTGTCGAAGTCCTGGCGTTTGTCCTTGTAGTTCTTCTCGAGGGGGATGGTGTTCTGGAGGTAGGTGTTGACGGCGTCGTTGAGGGCGTCTAGGTACTCCTCCAGGTACTCCCTCTCGTCCTCCTCGTGGCTGCTCCGGTGCCGGTCTTCGTAAACCGGTTTCGCGCGCTCCCGGAAGGAGGTCAGGAAGGGGTCGTCGCTCCGGGCGCCGAGTCGTTGGAGGATCTCGGGCTGCTCGGAGAGCTCCCGGAAGGCGGAGCGTTTCTCGGCGATCTCGTCGGGGGAGACGCTGTTTATGTATTCGGAAAGAGCCTCTTCGAGGGATCTGCTCCGGTCACTCTGGGATTCGAGGTCGTCTTTTGAGTAGGGACCGCGCCCTTGGGAGAGGAGCATTTGGTAGTTGTAGCCGGGACCTTCCAGCCGGACGTCACCTGGACCACAAAAAGAAGTAAGATCAGTGTGCAGAAGTACATTTTTTTGAAATGCAACATTTGGACAGCGTTCAGCAGGAAAGAATCAAGGCATATCATGCTATTGCCAAAATCGTGCAATTTAATTTTATGCACTGGAAAAAAAAAACACATTGGATCTAGAGTCCAGACTCTTAAAAACATCGACAAGAAAAAATACTCTAGATTCAATCAGATTTAAACTTAAATCAAGAACCCAGCCTCTTAATTTGAGCGGATTTTTTTATATTTAAGCTTAAATCTGATTGAATCAAGAGTCATTTTTCTTGTCAATGTTTTCAAGAGTCTGGACTTCAGATCCAATGTGTTTTTTTTCCAGTGTATGACTGGACAAGATTAGCCTAGATGCATGAAATTACTAGATTGTATTAATTTAATCTAACACATCATGCATTCCGTAATTTTTGCATGATTTAGGCATACTTTTTTACATGAAAACGGTTGTGCGGATTTTTGTTGCTTTTAGTGTATCTTCCGCATAGTACGAAGAAAATTTCCTGAAAATTTCTAAGGAATCCGCATAAACGTTCTTTTATAAAAAATTAAATTGCCCAATTAAATTTGGCGATAGCTGATGTGGCTTGGTTTTTTTCTGCTAAAAGCAGTCCTTTTCTTAATTATGTCGTGTTGTGACCAAACGTAGACCGCTAAAGGCATGCCATTCTAGGCGCGAAAATTCGCCGAGTCTACAACCAAAGGTGGCATACGGGAGTGGCAAAGGAAATCCGATCGAAATCCTTTGACGAAGCGTTATACCGACGTCGATCGCCGACTTACTAAGCGCCACATAAAATGTCCACTGAAATTCCAGCAGCGAGAGAGGATGACTCGCAATGCAAGTGACCTCATTAACGCGGAACTCGGGGTTTTTTGAAAGGCGATCTCCGATCCAAGTATATGCATGTATAAGTTCTCAGAATTGTGACTTTAATCGTGGTAAAGTGTTGCGTTATGAAAGAGCCCATCTCTTTTAAAATAATGAATTTCGAAAGACTCTATATCTATGACAAGTAAATTTCTGTGTGCATGAAAGAGAGTGACTAAAGTAATGGGTAAAATAAGACTAAAAATCGCAAAAATAAATTTTGGCATAACGCCGGGAGCTGCTGCAGGCTCATTTTAAGTCACAAGACTCGAAAAGTAAGTGAAAAATTGAGTTACATACAACCTGACCTCAGGCGCTACCAGGCAACTTGTGGAATCAATTTTTTTATTCATAATTTTACGTACACGGAAATTGCAATTTTTTGCTCATAGGTGCGCACTGCGCAGTGCGCAGTTACGGCTTTTCCTTTCGTGAGGGCACTCACATTGCCATGATAGGAATTTTAGCCTTTAGATATACATGGCAACTCCTAACGCTACGTAGTCTTATCTCCGCAGAGAGAATTTTATTACTTTTTGAGATGAACACTTCCACAATTTAATGATCCGTCATTATTGCAGACTTTCTTGTAAGCTTTTTATGAGTCTGGAAGTTAATTCAGGAGAAAGGCAATCAGACAACCGTGTTTCGAGTCAAATTTTACATTGAAATATGGTCGGTTATACCTCAAATTCCCAAACTCAAAATATCATTTCCAACCTATAGCTCATTTTAAGTTAGAAAAGTTCATTTGACACATTAAATCTTTATTATTAGAGCTTGTAATACAAGCTTGAGAGAATAGCGATCTTCAGAATAGGTGGAGGATAACTAAAATGTGACGGCCCGTTTAACTTTCCCTCCTTGAAGGCTTTCAAATTGGATGAAAAGTTGCAAGAAAAGTTACAAGAAAAGTTACAAATGAAAGTTCTTTCGACTCAATTTTGTCGCATTATATTCGTCCTTCAACTTCGCCGGAACAGGGAGAGAATTGTGTGAACTGGGTCGTATCAAATGGGTCTATATTTAATTTGAAATCAAAAATTGCGCATTTCTATACCGTTTTCTCGTAAAGAATGGACCTCATCCTGCTGAATAAAAGTAGAATTCTTGGAATATCATTGACTTCAGAAAAATAACTTTCCCCTTTCCAGGAATTAAGAGAATTTCGTGCTCAAAATACCTAAGTTTATTCCCGTCAGTATGAATAATAACATTGCCCCTAATACCAAATAAATCATTGGGCGTAATTACACTCTGAGATGACCCTTTTAGCTGTTTAAACATTATTGGTTCACGTGAAACTGGTGTTACGTCCTAATATCAGTAGTAGAGAGGCAAAATGATCGCGAAGCTGCGTCAGGCGCGTAATACCACTATTTTAACTCTCTGGTCGTAGTCCAGGCATTATCGGAAAAATAGAAAAAAAAATTTATATATAAGGTTTTATGTGCCCAAGTTGTTCATTGGGGTGCCAGGGACTCCCAGCAAAAAGTCCCCAAGAATCCCCTGTACGCTCGACCCCCCGCCCCCCCCAAAACCCCCCAAAAATCGACCTTTCCTCGGTTTTTCGCAAATATCTCAAAAAGAATTGGTTTTAGCGAAAAATGAGTTATCTAGTGAATAAAAGTTCATAAAATTTCCAATAAAAATGACTTCTATGAATTTTTTTGTAAAACGACTTTGAACCCCTCAAAATGGCCGCCGAAAAAACGGGCATTTACGGAAATTTCAGTTTTTTCCCGAAAATGCCCATTTTTCTTTGAAACGGCTGCNTTGGGCACATAAAACCTTATATATAAATTTTTTTTTCTAATCGCCGATTTTTGATCTAATATGCCTGGACTATCGGTAAATTGTATCATTTCAAAATGAAGGAGTTTATTACCTCCTCGAAACTGTTCCTTGTAGTTCAGATTTGAAAGTCAAATGGAAAGTTTAAAGAGTGAGAGTTTTCTTGCAGGGTGGCTGTCTGTAAATCCTCTTACTTATAATATCCTTTTAATTTCTCCTTGATTTCTCGTGCTGGTTGAATTTTCTCTTAAAATGTCTTACTTATACAACTTCTAAAGCGCATTTGGCTTGTGTTCATAATGTCACCTTAAAAATGTGTTTCAAGGCATAATCCTCATAAAAAATTCACTAGTTAAAGTATGCGATAAACATGTCTCCTTTTGAGATAATATTATCTTTCCAAAAGCTCAACTGATCCAGAAATTTCATGAAAGAAAATTCTCCTTTTTAAAAACATCCAATTATGGTATTTTGGGTCCTAGTTAGAATTTTATGCCCGCCAAAAATATTTAGTTTGCGATAATTTAGTTAGATTTGTTATATACATCGAATCTTAGGAGATAATTCATTAAACGTATTTAATCAACAGGAACAATATCCATTAAGACATTAGCCCTGTGTTGTCACGCATGTATTTTTATGCATCTCAGTGCTCATGTCAGAATGGATATTGTTCCTTTTGATTTAAATATGCCCAATTTGCCATGTTCATTACATTAGATTGTAACTACATTTCAATGTTGCCAACTTTCCCTTCGTAAATTGCTTTCCTTTTCGGAGAATCTTAGGCATTTCTAACTGAAAATTTCAGTGATTTTTCCCTCGCACTCATGCAAAAATCGGGCTTTAGTAAAAATTTGCACAAGTGCATTCTTGTAAAACATTTAATTACTTGGGCCAATTTTGCAACCTTGGAATGGAGTTACGTTCCTTCGTTCGAGAAAACGACGAAATATCAAACTTATTTTTCTCTATTGTAAGTCTATGTCACTCAGTCCATTCCCACTCTATCCTAATGGGCCTGTTGCAAACTTCTGCAAGAGCAAAAATAAGAGTTGATTCTATTAGTAAATGTCTTAAAAATCACAATGAGCGCATTGGCAAAGTTTAAAATACACTCCTAGCTTCACAATCTGCGCAAGAAATTTGCGATATTTTGAGCTTCCCGCTTCAAAAATGATACAACGACACATATGAACATAGCGTTAGAGAAGTCGTTCCATTCAACCCTATCGCAATAGCAATACCCAACATAGCCGACGCTTCCGCGTGCAAATCGCATTTGGGAGCACAAAGACCAACCAAAGTTAGGAGGGCATTTCAAACTTCACCAATGCGCTCATGGTGATTTTTGAGACATTTATAGATAGAAACAACTCTTATCTTTGCTCCAGCAAAAGTTTGCACAGTGGAAAAAAAACACATTGGATCTAGAGTCCAGACTCTTAAAAACATCGACAAGAAAAGTACTCTTGATTCAATCAGAATCTAGCTTAAATCAAGAACTAAGCCTCTTAATTTAAGCGGATTTCGATTTGATTCAAGCAAAAATCCGATTGAATCAAGAGTATTTTTTCTTGTCAATGTTTTCAAGAGTCTGGACTCTAGATCCAATGTGTTTTTTTTTTCCAGTGCAGCAGGCCCATTTTGATCGATGAGCACTTTTCCGAAAGTTCAAAAATGTGTTTGCCTACCTGATGGGAGGTCTAGGTATCCGAGGGCTTCGCTAGGAGGCCCCCGTTCGTCAGCCTCATACTCCCGAGCCTGTGCCAGGGCCATGGCCCTCCGTCGCTGCGACACGGCATTGATGGCCGCTTGCAGGCTGTCATCCTCGTAATCACATTGCACCGCGCTCAAACATAAGTAGAAAATTAGTCCAGCACAGCTCACTGCTGATCTCATCTTCACGTCTGCAACAGAGGAAACACTAGATTAGGAATCCGATATCAAAAATGAAGGGGCGATAAATTAGTTTAAAGCAATTTTTGAGAAATTTTACAACATACCGAAAAATGAGGAGTACCGATAAGGGCCGTTTCTGGGCCCACCCTACGCTGAGAGAAAAAATAACCCATAAGTTGTGCTAATATGGGAAATGAAACACGAAATAACCCAAGCCTTCAGTTGAAACTGGGATTTTTCGGTTTTCTCTTTATTTTTTGTACCAGATTGAACGCAAGCTTTACCGAGATCAACACAAAATTTGGGTTGGTGTGTGTTTTACTTCCTGTATTAACTAAAAGTACCACAAGAACACGAATATTTTTTCAGTGCAGCTGAATTACCTCTACCCTTCAATTTTTTGCTTATCGAAGGTCTATACTATACGGAATGTATAGTAGCAGTCAACTAACAATCAAACACGTCTAATTTTGAGCGTTCAGTTGCGAATACACCACGCGGCAGCACAGTGAAAACACAAAATATAAGGGAAAAATTAGAAAGCTTTGGAAATCATTAAATTAGACACGGAACCACCTTAATATTTTCAAAACATACGTTATATTTTCCTTTAATACATATTAACCCCCATCAATATAAATAAGAATAATCCGTGCAGAGCGTGCAAACCTTTCAAAATCATGAAGTCATTCAAGTCATCACGCTGACTCCGCGAGTTTAAATATTGTAGCCTAACACAAAGCGAAGTGCGCACTGGCGCCTACAAACCGAACGGGATACTTCACGCGTTGCGCAATGCGTGAAGTATCCCTGTTAGGTTTGTAGGCGCCTATGCGCGTGTCACGCTGGTCGCCCGCCGCGCCGCTGAGTGCTACGGCGTTTCAACCAACCCTTTCGCGACATAGGTGCTGCACAGTTGCGAAGTTATCGTACACAGAAAAAATCGAAAAGCCTTTAGCTGAGGAAAATCAAAAGGTTCATCCGGTTCAGGTATAAGAGGATGGGATTTTCTTGAAAGATAATTAAGTCCTGTTGCACCAAAGAGGCGTAGAGAGTTTTAGTGAATTTTCTCTCATGGAATTGACGCCAAAATTCTCAATTATATATTTGTTTCCGTTTGGCCAACCAAACAAACAAAAAACGAGCAAACCCTCATTCTTCCAAGACATTATACATTTCATCCAAAAACGTCGTGAGCAAATGTTGTTTGCACATATATTTACATGTTGACCAATTAACTTTGGGTCTCAATAATTGATAAGTGGACCAAAACTCCCCTGCCAAAAAAACGCGTGGACTTAAACTACTGGAAAAAACAAGTGCTCGGACAATAAATCGTTGACGAAATGTCCTATAACCGCTCTGGGATCCACCACTGTACTCTGTCCTCCCACAATCCTTATGGTGGTTGGCACTCCCTCGTTTCATTTAAAACCCCTTATCGCCACCCTTGCAATGGATTCCCCCAACACGCAATGGAACGAATCACTAGAAATTTATATTTTGTAGCGGGAAGCTATTGATTGGACCACATTTTGCAATAAGAATTCCCTATTTCTGACTCAATTCATTGCTCCTCTGACGTAACAGCGTATCTCAATTTCCGCGTGAGCCCTGTCCCCCGTATAACTCTATGCATTTCGGGGTTCATAAGGAAATGGAGATACGCCATTACGTCAGAGGAACGACCATTTTAGAAACAATATAAGCACTGTCAGTTTCCTTCCACGTTTAGGAGATTTTATGGATGAATCGGAGGTAGTGGCTCATTATTGCAAACTGGAGTCTATTTAGACAACATTTTGCAAATAGGAACTACAATATCTGGCTTAGGCAGCGTACGTGCTATTAGTTTCCCCATGCGTATAAGTGTTTTTATAGATGAACCAGATATTTCAGTTTCTAATTGCAAAATAAAGTCCAATTGTGGTTCATTTGCCCAGCGCGTAGGGAGTGGGTGACGACTGAAGAGCGACCAAATTTTAAACCCCTTTCTCTCCCACCGTCCGTACCGCACAAGTACCGCGGGGGGTCGGTACTCGTTTAATGAGTCACGGTATTTAATATTCCTTAACCTTGTCACCGTATTGCTTCCTCGCCAGGGCAGATGTGCCACATTTTGCGGAGGAATTTTTCGCTTATTACGGGCCCGTTTATTTTGAATTGGGATCATCAGAAACTAGAGGTATTTCCCAAACATCTTGCAACCCTGAACTCCTAGCTTTCATTGATAATCCTCAGCTTCCTGGAGTCTGGCGAAGCTCCGTTGCACGAATATTAGAGAGCGACGAATAAAGTTGGGAACGGTAAAATTAGGGGATGTGCATCGTTGCCAGTTTCTTTTTATATTAACTCTTACTTTTTTTTTTAAAAAAAATCTGTTTAAAACTTTGTCGCTTAGCTTCTAATAACCCGAAAATACTCTCCGGTTCATTTTCGCATTTAGTCTTAGTGCCTATCTATACCTATAAAAACGAACTTTTGAGAAAAGTTAGAGGGAAAATATTTGATGAATATGACAGTCCGCGGGTATAGAGACCTGGCTGCCGAAAAAATAAAAATCACCTTTTCTACTTTTATTGTTGTACTAAAGGAAAGATTTACAGAGGATTTTACCTAACAAATACTTAAAATGAAATCAAAGGCGGAGTTATAACGTAAATTTTAATTCAGAAAAAAGTGAATTGAGGGGCTTGGAGGAGAAGGCACAGATGTGCAGTTTTTGCAAGAATTGAGATATTCATGGATTTAACTAAAACTAATTTGAAAGTACATTTTGTGAAAAATTCACAACTAAAATCACACTTTAAGGCATCAAAAAGTAAGTTTTAACTCCTTTTCCACCATAAGGTTCTATGTAATTTTAAAACTTTAAACACTTATTTCTTGGAAAAGCAAAAACTGCATTTATGCGCCTTATCCTTCAAGCTCCTCCTTTGAAATTTCCAATCGTTTGTTATTGGGGCTCAAAAATGTCGGTTTAAAATATAATGTTTTGTCCTTCAAAAAAGGTCTATACCTCTCGCAACTTCTACTTCGGGATGTTTAAGGAATATTCAAATTAAAAACTTAAGTCGGAAAGCTCGGTTTCCTCATCCGACTCAAATAAAGCCGCTATGCTAGAAAATTCGCTCTCCCTTCCCCCTTGGTAAAGTAAGTTCCTTTTTCTCTGGATCCCAAATGGGCAAATCATAACAGTGGGGAACCAACTTTTCCTGTTCGGTTCAGAGGAAACTTATAACCACAAATTTTCCTCAACTCAACTAAGTGATTTAATGAACGCGTTCATGTACTTTGTTTCCGTTCCTCCGTAAATGGGTCCAAATATTGACCATTCGATATGGATTTGCGTGCAGATTATTCGATAATTTTTTCGAAATTTGGCATCCAAAAGTGAGCTTGAGCTTTGAGCAGCACGGAGAGGACCGAGGACCGTGCCGAGTAGAATTTTCAATAAAGAGAGCTCGAGGCGAGGAATTCGCCACAGAAATCCGGCGTTGCAACGTCTCTTCACTAAATGTTAGGTTTTAAAATTATCATCTAGTGATTTACCCCGAGATGGAGGGAAAAATTTTCCTCGTGAAAATGGGGATCGTTTTGTGGAGGATCCATTAAACGAGGGTTTTATTGGTCTGAAAAGCCATTCATTGCGAACGGTTGATTCGATCCAGCGAAAGTTAAACGATAAACTCGTCTAATATGATCACAGTGGTCCCAAATATAATGCCGTGCTTAGGAAGAACACCGTATAAGCCTTTAGGCGTTGCCAAATTTCCCTCCATAAAAACCGAATCTACTGAGAAAATTGTGTTTATTATTTTCCAAACTTTTTAGAAAATTTTCTACGTAATTTAATCTAAAATATCTGAAAATTTCAAAGAAAAATGTGCATGATTTTCGTCAAAAATACATGCTTTATCAAGGGAAATCTGCCAACACTCGGATGTTCATACGACGTTCTCCCATAGAACGGCAGCATACGTGGTTAAAGGTTTTATGGAGGAGCGAGACTTTCTCTTGAAATGCTTTCATCAAAAGATTTTCATCACTCTTATTTTGTTTCATTTGTTGACAAGAATCATGATTACGATGGGTGAACTTTGGAATCATGATGCTCAGTTGCAATAATCCAAAATTTCGGGGATTTCTAAACGTATAATAACCCTTATCCTGGTTTGAAAATGTCTCTATTTTTTTTTTCTATCTCGTATTCATCCTATTTACACGTTGAGCCACTAGATTGATTTGTTTCTTGGTGGTTTCAAGGTTTTGAATTTCCACTCATCAGTTGTAAAAACTGTAAAAATATCAGGGAATAAAAAAATTCTGGGAGATATGCCCCCTAGCCGGTGAACAGTTCGACCCCCGAAGGGGGCCTCGCGGTTCCCCGTGAGTTAATCTAAATATAACAAGATCTAAGGATCTATAGATTAATCTAAAAGGCATAAATAAATCTGAGGTCATCTTAATTAGGCTTATCTAAATATTATCTTCCATCGATAACCGGAAAAAGCATGGAAATTGGTCCGGTAGACCTTCCAGATGAATCGTGACAAAAAATAAATATTTGTATAGTTTGAACGATAAAATCCACAACCTTTGGGTCATATTTCCAAAATCTGAATTAAAATCAATCGTCATTAGTCGCGAAAAATATGGAAATCGGCTCGGTAGAACGGTAGAGTGGACCGTGACAAAAATGAAAATTCAGGGGGTCAGAGTGCTAGCAGTAATGAAAAAAAAATTGAATTTTGGAGAGATTTTTTGGGGATGGAACACCCACATTCCACGGTACACGAGTGTTGATGACGTCACCATTATTGTAGCCTACCGCCCCTGAAAAGGTAATGCCTCTCGCGTAAACAAGGGATGCTGACCGGGCTCCAGCGTCATGTATCAAACTGCAGACAAACCAAGGACAAATTGAGGCTGAATCTAGGATGTCAAAACTGCCATGCTAAAGAAAAACGCCTTATCAGTATCCAGGTGTTGCCATACCTCCTTCGAT